TGTGTGTGTGTGTGTGTGTGTGTGTGTGTGTGTGTGTGAGTTCTGCTGAGCGCTTTGCAGACCACAGTCATGCTGGCTGACGCAGTGCAGGGTCCACTGACAGCTGCTGATGTGCCATTAGCAAAGCACACGGAATCTCTGGCTGAGAAGGAAGCTCCAAGCACCACCTCCCTATCAGGGCCCAGCATGATTCAGATCAGCTCAGCTCTGCTTAAGGTAACGTGTGAGTGTAGAAGAGGTCCAGAAGCAGCATAAAAGAGGAAGAAGGGTCAGAGAGTGTGGAAGGGAATGTGAGCGAGAGCAAGACAAGGTCTCAGACGGATTTAGTAAATAACAATAAGGCAGCGTTGGTGTTCCGACGCCTCAGTGGGTTTAAGGCGGCAGAATAATGATGTCCAGCTTCCTGGGAACAGAAATAGACTACAAAACATGCTCACTGCATATCTGTGGCGTACGTTCACAGGATAAAGTCCAATTATCATCCAACACAATGGCTCAAGGTTGTTTCTAACCTTTATACACTTAGTAGTCTTTCCTCCTTACCCTAAGGTAAGTAATATCCTTATTATATAAGTACCCAAACTGGTGAAATGACTCACAGCAAGAGAGCACAGTGGCAGAAACTAGAGAAAAACTTTCCAAACCAAAGTCCCCCAGAGTTTTAAGCTGAGGTCTCTCTTCACCACAACAAACAGTATCCGCATCACTGCATCCAGGACCCCAATCCGTCTGTCAATCTCCCGCTCATCTCTGCCCTCATTCATGAACAACACCGTAAGATACTTAAACTTCTCCACTCGGGGAAGCAGCTTCTCCCTGACCCTGGAGTAGGCACTCCACGCTTTTCTAACTGAGGACCACGGCCTCAGACTTTGAGGTGCTGATTTTCATTCCTGCCACTTCACCCTATTATGGTGATAAGCTCTTGGTAGTGACCGAAAGAATGACACTGCAGATACAAGGGTGAAAATGAGTTTTCTCCAAAGGCTGGCTGGCCTCTCCCTTAGAGATAGGATGAGGAGTTCAGTCATCTGAGAGGGGCTCAGAGTGGAGTTGCTACTCCTCCACATCAAAAGGAGGCAGCGGCGGTCACCTGGGTGAGGTGTTTGAAGCATGTCCCACTGGGAGGAATCCCCGTGGTACACCCAGGATATGCTGGAGAGATTAAGCTGGAGGAGATAGCTGGGGAGAGGGACATCTTGCTTGGGCTGCTTCCCTGCAAAAATTGATGTGTGGATGAACGGGAAGATGGATGGAAGCTAAAAGGAAAAAAAGTTTTTAACTGAGCCAATGTGTTTCTGCAATAAGTACAACACAAATAGTATTGCACTGATCACCAAATGTTCCTGCAACTGGCAGTTCAAGTCTTTGAATTGTGCTTCCTCAGATGTGCACAGACAGGACTGAGTCATGAGTAGCAATAGATCAAGGGGGACCACAGAGGAGCTACAGCACACTGTGCAACTCTATGTCTGATACTATATCTTGCTGGAAGGTAGGTTTGAAGCCATGTCCTAAAAAGCATGAAAGAAATAATCTGTGCCCATGCGCATTCATTGATACGTGTCCACCACAGAAGCAGTCTTCAGCTCAAAGGTGGAATTCACATGCATCGTCCTCAACAGAAGAGAATATATTCTGGCTTGCGACATTTGTTGCTTTTAAAACCACTCATTCCCGGTTTCCTTGTCTCTGTTCCAGCACATAAAATCAAGGAAGACGATCTGATGAGGAAGGAATCTATGCGATAAAGCTGGGTAGCTAGAAAGAGAAAAACAGAAGAAGAGATGGCAGCATATTTTAAAATTGCAGCCTGAACCCCGATGTCTTCTTCTCGTTATCAGATGTGCTGCTGTTTCCTCTTTTCGATTTGAGCTGACAGCTTATTAGCACACGGCTGTGAAGGGAAAGGTGAAAGTGTGCATTACAGCTTTCCCGCCGATGTGTCATCTTCATGCCCACATAATCTCGATTCTCCCACTTGTTAAGATTTATTTCACCACTGCTGCAGAGATTTTGCAATCTCATAACTTTCCTCAAACAGCCAAAAGCCATATTCTCTTTCTTCACTGCACACAGAGCACAGCTTCTCTGCTCTGCTGAGAGGACTTTAATTACTACAAAAGGCATGGAATGAGTATCTTGTCATAATGTCAGCTTGCAAAAAAAATATTGTTAAGCGGCACGAGACTAATGCGATGGAACAGTGAAAAATTGCAAAATATAATTTACTTAAACAGTAATGAGGTTGTAATGAGAAGAATTAAAACAAGCAGAAGTTTGGAGTTAAGCATATTGCATGCTTGTCACTATAACAACATATTATTAAGCTTCATATCTCACAGTGTTTGGATTTGTGGGGAAAGAGTGAAGATTTGATTTTCCTCCAGGCACTAAGACTGCAGTCCTGATCGGACCCTTATCATTTGTGACAAGAGAATTTGTGCACATGGTCTTGTCACCCACATATTATTGCACAGGCTGTATGTGATTGAAACTCACAGCAGTATAACAGCTTTTTGTCAGCCTGGTTACAGTGCTTAAGAAAAACATAGGGTTACTCTTATTTTCCTCAATCAGTGATGAAAGGCTTTTTTTTATAAAGCAGCAAACCAGGCTAAATGATGACCTTCTAAATTGGTGAGATGCCATTTCCTCCCTAGCTTGCGAGTTATCTGCTTTAAGGTGCACATTTGAGAGTATACCAGAGAGTCAACCTCCTCTGATTTGAGGCTTTCTTTTCCAGTGGAGCTACTGTTTCCAGAGTCGTACGCAGTGGAGATGTAAAATTATTGACAAGATAATCGACCTCTGTGGGAGTAGTATTCAGGCAGCTGCTCTGCACCGTGTCGGTGAATTCTTTTTCTTGATTGATCTTTCTGAGTTAACTTAAGTAATTACATCATCCAAATCATTAACATGTCTCTTAGACCCCACTCCTACAAGACTGTTCAAAGAAATCATACCATTAATTAATGCTTCAATCTTAAATTTGATCAACCTATCTCAGTCACATACCACAGGCCTTCCAGCTGGCAGTAGTAATTTGGAGATTTTCAGTCAGGTTTCAGTGCAGTGGTTTGTATCATAGCTCTCTATCATAGCAGTTTGTTTAAATAAATACAGAGTCCTCTTTGCAAACTAAAGTTAATTATGGAGTTCCACAGATATATTTTCACTCCTATGCAGATGACACCCAACTTTATTTGTTCATGAAGGTAACACACACCAATTAGTTAAACTGAAGGAATGTCTAAAGACATAAAGACCTGGATGACCTCTAATGTTCTGCTTCTAAATTCACTTAAAAATTAGGTTATTGTACTCTCTCCTAAAAGAAATATGGTATCTATCCATTTCTTCTTGTTAAAATGGAGTTTTTCCTTCTCACTGTCACCAAAGTGCTTTCTCATAGTGGTTCGTATGATTATTGGGGTTTTCTCTGTTTTCTTTGCATTATTGTATGATAGTTACTTTACAGTATAAAGTGCCTTAGGGCAACTCTTGTTGTGCTTTGGTGCTATATAAATAAAACTGAACTGAATTGAATTATATTTAATAAAAACTAGACCTACAGGTCATTGGCGCTTGTTAGCTTCAGTAATGAAAACACTTAAAGATATGCATGACAATGCCTTCCAGTGACCTTCCAGTGACCCCTGAAGTGAGACTAAAGACTAAACTAAAACATATTCACAAAAAACAATGTACACAAAACATCAACATCACACATGT